TCAACTACTACATGTTTGTTTCCTTTTAAAACACAAAGTTTGGTGTTTTTATTGAGTTTTTCTGTGATAAACCAACACAAAGGATTGAAGAGTCGGCTTTGCAGCTTGGTTCAAAAAGAACAAAGTGGCTCCGGAGGAGCTGCTGAGGTGCACAGCTCGGGGTCACACTGTTCATGGAGCTGAGCGTTATACGCCACTGAAAAAACGTTGAACTTTCCTCGAGGAGGAGCTAAAATCGAAGCTTTGGCTCCAAACAAAGAAACTCTGCTTCCTTTCTCATAAAACATGGTAGTGGCAGAATTATGCTGTGGGGAGAAACTCAGGATGATACCAGCAGTGATCCTATCAGCAGCTGTGGCATCACCATAAATACCAGTTAAAGGTGTGGTTGTACTGGGACTAAATGTGGAGAGGTTTATGCTTTTTTTTTTTGTTGTTGTCTCCGTTTCAGACGGTGAGACGGACGGTGGGGACACGCCGGCGCTAAGAGAGTGTGCGTCTCCGTGTCTCCAGAAAACGCCGACCCAAACGGTAAGACCACGCATCAGCAGCTTCGCTGTAAATCCATCCATGTTTGTGATGTGTGGGATTAAAAACGCGAACGCTGACAGATTCCCGTTCCTCGATGCAGCCCTGCTCCCCCGGCCCGCAGCCGCAGCCTTCCGGTCGCCCGGCGAAGGACGAAGACGGCGACGCTCAGCCCTGGATGGCGAATCCAAACAGCAAGCCGGCCGGATCCAAGCCGGCTCCTCTGACCCCGACGAAGCTGCACCCCGCCGCCCCCCTGCCCTCCTCCCCCGTCCACTACCCAGGCTCCTCCCTCCTCCACTCCCCCAAGCCGCAGCCTCAGGGCTCGCCGTTCCGCGGCCAGAGGGCGCTGTTCTCCAACCAGCCTCCGTCGCAGCCCCAGCCCCAGGCTGGACCTGCCCCCTTCCCCCCCTACACCACACAGGGTGCTCCTCCTCCTCCACCCCCGCCGCCCCCGGCCCCATCCGTCTCCACCGCCTACTTCCCCAACCAGAGCCCCTCCCCCACCGTCCCCTTCCCCGGGTTCAAACCCGCCGTCGCCCCGTCCTACCCCACCGGGTCGCAGCCCCTGATGCAGACTCTCCCCCACAGCGTTCACTATCAGAGCTCAGCGGCCCCGCCCCCTCCTCCCCCGCCTCCCCCCCACCCGCTACCTGGGCCCACGCTGCTGCACGTCAACATGCAGCCCCCTCCCATCCAGCAGCATCAGCTCATGATGACGTCCGCCCCTCCTCCTCCTCCCCCACTGCAGAGTCAGCCCCCCCCTCAGCAGCAGCAGGCGGCTCCCACAGGCGGGACGCTCATGTCCCTAACCCCCCCGCCGCCCCCTCCTCCGCCTCCCCCAGCTCCCTCCTCTAACCCCCCGCTGCAGCCCCACCACTACCAGAACTTAGGTGGCTTCCAGGCGGCGTTGATGCATCCGGGTCCCGCTGGGAACCCGTCCGTCCCCCCGTCCTCGTACCCCCCCCCACTGCAGCAATCCGGACTGCCTCCTCCTCCCCCGCCTCCCCCACAGCAGCCTCAACAAGGCCCGGCTCAGGCCGCCACCCAGATGCCTCCCGGGACCCGCGGAGCTCCTGCGTCCTCGAACTCCTTCCACGGCTCGGGTTACCTGAGCACCGGGTGGCACTGACCCCCCCCTCCTCCCTGAGGACTCTGCTGGGGAGGGGGGCCTGTACCATAAGCTGTAGATAAGTTTTCTACGTACCTGAACACATGGCCAGTTGAAAAACAGCTGTTTGTGGGATAAAAGGAAAAAACAAGGACAAGAAAACGATTTTAGCAAAACGCAACGACAAACTGTAAGAAAAGAAAGATGGACGATCCCCCTGGTGCTCATAGCCCCCCCCCCCCCTCTCTGGCCTGTATTGTTTTTTCTTTTTATAACATCCTCCATGAAGGTGGAGAGGAAAAAGTTCTGTTCTTTGTTCAGAGCCCCGTTGTATTCCCCCCTCCCCCCGCACTTTGTTTATAAGCGGACATTCCAGCCTCCTCCGTATATCCGTCTGCCATCGTCTCTCTACACAGTTTATGTTTTAATCTAGTGGCTCATTATAGCAAACAAAAAAAAGCTTTTTGTATAGAGTTAAAAAAAACAACAATTATTTTTTTTAATCTTCTGTCTAACAAATATCTGTTCACCGCTGCAGATTCAGGAAAGATCCGTTTGAGTGTGAGCCCCGCCCCTTCAGGACGCCTCACCTGTGTGTGTGTGTGTGTGTGTGTGTGTGTGTGTGTGTGTGTGTGTGTGTGTGTGTGTGTGTGTGTGTGTGTGTGTGTGTGTGTGTGTGTGTGTGTGTGTGTGTGTGTGTGTGTGTGTGTGAGAGAATGAATGGCAGCTTAGAGGAGCGACGCGTGTTTTGGGATTTTGCTCATGGAGGTAGGCAGAGCGTCTCACCTACAAGTAGGAAGTTAGCGGTTTATTTTTGAAACTCAATGGATATTTGTAGAAAGTGTAATTTAATGTATAGGTGGTTACTTCAGCTTTTCACCAGAAACAGGTTTTTGTAAATATCCTGCTTCTTTTCTTTTTCTATGCTTGTACAATTCGCCCCCCCCCATCCCATCCTCCTCCACACCCCCTCCAACCCCTCCCTCATTTTAAGATATGGTTGTAAATATGAACGCTGTTCTCTGCAAAGCTGAATGTTTCTGTGACTAGCATTATTTTTATTTTATTATTTTTTTATTTTCTCTCCCCTTTTATTGACTCTTCAACTATGTCTCCTTTTTTTTTTTATTTGTGTGTGTGTGAGTGTTGCGTTTGTGTGGAGGAGAGAGACTCACAGACACTGCACTGGTTGGCTATTTTCATGGTTCATTATAATAAATCACTGTAATGACAGTTTTATATCACTTGTGGTGACGTTTGTCTGAAGGTTTTGGGGGGAATTAAGTTGTCTTCATATAGATTTCTGCTGTAAATAGGACCTATCCGACAGCATGAAGTAGAATTGAAGATCTCAGAAGGGAAAAAATCAACAAATATGAAAGTTAATGAATGACATCGCTCTGCTTGGAGACGTCTCTGAGGCTGTGGGACCAGTGGATGATGAAGAGTGGAGAACCAGAGGAGTCCAGTCCACCTAAATTAGTCCAGGAGGTCACCTGCCTTAGTTCAGGTCAGTTTTATCAATGGTAAGAAAACAAAAAAACTAGTTGACCAAGGATTGAGGTCGGCTTCAGTCCTCGATACATCGACCTGTTAAGACTAATCTTTTTACATAAAGGCAACTTGTGCCACAAAAGTACGGTGGAGAATTAGGGCCAGGCCAGAGATTTTTAAATTAAAACTTTTCAGGATAAAGTAATACTACGAGAATTAAGTCATTTCAGAAAGAGACCTTTGAAGTCCAACCAGCAGATGACGTCCGACCAGCTCCACCAATCAGCAACCTGAGTCCACTTTGACATCGAAAAAGATTTGGGCCAAAGCGTGATGCTCGACATTTCTCATTTTAGGGAAGAAAGTGCTTCTTGTAAGAGGTGTCAGAAAATACAACTTTATTTTCGTAATTTTATAACTTTATTCTCGTAGTGTTACGACTTTATTCTCATAATTTTAGGACTTTATTTTTATAATGTTACGAGTTTATTCTCGCAATTTTATTTTATTCTCGTAATTTTACTACTTTATTCTCATAATTTTGCAACTTTGTTCTCATAATCTAAAACTTTGTTCTCGTAGTGTTGCGACTTTATTATCCTAATTTTATGACTTTATTCTCGTAATTTTGCGACTTTAGGCTCGTAATATTGTAACTTTATTCCCGTAATTTTCTCACTTAATTTTCGTAATGTTTCAATTTTATTCTCATGATTTTATGACTTTATTCTATTAATGTTAAGAGTTTGTTCTTATAATTATGACTTTATTCTCATAATGTTACGAGTTTATTCTTATAATTATATGACGTTAGTCTCATAATGGTACGAGTTTATTCTTGCAATTTTACAACTTTATTCTCGAAATAGAAAAAAAAATCTCTAGCCTGGCCCAAATACTATAGACACTAAAGTCACTAACGGAAAAAAAAAAAAAAAAAAATGTTCCCATGTTAAACTGAAATAAAATAAAAAAATCAGTTAAGTTTTTTTTTTCTCAGTGGCCTTAATCCTCTTCCGTAGAATAAACTGGCTAAATCAGTTAAACCACAGGAAAGTTTTCAAATGTGGAAAAATCAGATAAGATACTTATAAGCTTCTAAGCTACTACTACAAGTTTCAAGAATCAAATCTTTAATTTCAAAAATAAAATGTATAAACTCAACTAATGAGTTCATATCTCAGGGTTGAAATCTATTAAATAATCCATAAAATCTAAACTAAATCTTTTTTGGTTCAGTAAATTGGCTAATCTTAACGTAAATGTAAAGTGGAAAAATATATGTTTACATTACAGGTTGTATTTTATTTAATCAACTTCTGTATGAAGGATTGTCTGAAACAATCAGCCCTGCAAAACCAGTGGATTATTAATTTTGGCCCCGTAGCTTCTTTTAATAATAATCTAAACTGGCAAACTGTTTTTAAAACTGATTTGTTGTTATAAAATATTTTGAATCTAATTTTTTTTGTACAAATATCGGTAGCTTTATGCTCATTACTGAGGATATCTATTTGCTTTTTCAAACCTGTGTAAAGAAAAAAGATTCAATGAACAAATAAAAATCATACCGAGCATCCTCATTCAGGTAAATATTAGAAAAGGAAACTATTTGCATAAAGTTGTTTCAATCCATGTTTTAAATGAAAATGTCAAACATACAAAAGAAAACAACACTGTATTCTTATTATTTTCTCGTTTTCTTTTCTTTACAACACTTTCAGGTAACAATATACTTATCATCAACCCATGGCAAAACATTTCAATTCAAAGACGAGACTGAAGACGAGGACACAGCCGACGTATTTCTCTACATGAGATACAAATCATTTATGTGCGCTTTTATTTTTTAAATCTTTTTTTCCCCCCACAAACTTGAAAAAAAAAAAAAAAGAAAGCTTTAATAAGGAACAGTTTTCATCTTATTTTGTCAAATATTTAACCATTAACAGGACCGCGCTGTTCTTTCAGCTTCAATTCATCACTGTCTATTCTGTGTGATCTAGTTCTAGATGGTTTCAACGGCTGCAACCATGTTTTTTTTTTTTATTAAACACATCTATATGAAAGCAGCCTCAGCCTCATTCCTGCTAACAGCTCAGTTAAAGTGACGACACGGATAAAATCATCATAAACGTCTCAGGTGAGCATAGAAAGTATTTTACAGAGGGGATCTCTCATAGAAGACGAGGTGTCCTTTCTCCCAGTGATGCATTTTATGGCTGCTTTCAGGCCACTTCTTCTTGTTCTGCTCCTCCTTTAGTCAGATGATTCCAAACTCTTCAGCTGAGCTTCCCAGCCCCTGGTGGGAGCACCGGGTTAAAACTGGACTCTGCAGTAACGCCACATCCTGAGACCTGCAGACATGAAGAAAAATTACTGCACACCTTAACTCCTGTCTAAAAAGGTCATGCTTAACAACTCATGAAAGATTTCAGTATGAAATATTAAACATACTTTGAAATTTTAGTTGTTAAAGCTGATAAATATTGGTAGTTTATTGTCTTTTTTCCATTGTGATCCTTTGAACTGTAGCGGGTACAAAATAGCCTCTAATAATGATTAACCCTTGCAACCTTTCATATCCAAAGAGCCTTTTTGCCCCGAGTCCGGCCAAGTAAAAGTTGTTTAGAGCCACAAAGAATAACCCTTTTTTTTTTATCATCTCGTAAAGGAAATTAGTTGCCATATTATTATAACAACCAACAATTTATGTATTTTTAACTTTTAAAATAATGTTAAATCTCATCATTTACAAAAGGAAAATGTCTCTAAAAAGATTTCTGGTTCTTTTAATGTCATTCCTTTCCATCTTATAAAACCCACTAAAGCTTTAAAGACTGGTATTTATTATAGTACATTATTTAGCTCTTCATGTACATTTTAGCCGCTATTAAGAGCCACTGTAGAGGGTTCAAAGAGCCACAGGTCACAAATCCCTGATCTACATCCAGCCATTTAGCAAAGATCCTGCTGTAGATCTTATTTTGACATTTGATCAATTTGATGAGACCATGAATGATAAATTACCTACTAGAAATTAAGTTGGGGTGGAAAAAAAAAGTTAAAAAGCTAATTTAAAAGTTAATAAGCCCAGTTTACAATTATATTTAGGTTTATAAACTAAAAAATGGAAGTTCCAGTATCAGTATTCAGGGGCGGTTTTAGGAAATTTGGGGCCCTAGGCAGAGACAGGCAGGGGGCCCTCTGCATTGAGAAGACAACTTATAAAACAGACCCATTCTCCAGATAGAGAACTGTTAATAGAATAGACATCCATTATTTGTTCTAGGTTGTGTCCCTCTCTTCTTGTCCCTTTTCTTCTTGTTTTCCTCTCTATGTTTTGTTCTCAGCTGACTTTTCATGCTGTCTCTAAAGGAATGAAAGATTTTTTCCAAGCACTAAGCTCACTTAGCTGATTGCTCCTTCCTGTGTTTCCAAAAAGGCCAAAGTAAATAACCCAGTCCTTCTTTTCACTGTAGACAAGCCATGATCTGCTTATCTGTTCTCCATTTTTCGATGTTGTCTCCAAAGTCTCCAGAAGCAGAAAAAAGTCTCTAGATTTGGCGCTAGGGGCTTTTTTTGGGTATCTGAAAAGTGGCTAAATATAGCGACTAAAGCGCTAAGTTGGCATCACTGCTCTTTGCATGGTTTGTTTTCAAATGGTTTGCTGCTGTCTGTTTGGACCTTTCTGAACATGTGCAGCAAATGGACTGATCCAATATGGTGGATACTGAAGGGGGGGCTGAGACACACTTAATATTATCAGCGTTCTGATGGCATTTTAGCCACAGGATTTTTATCAAAAACATAATTAATGTGCAGAAATAAGGAATGGTTGTATTAACCATACATGGAAACAGATTTTTATGGGGCCCCCAGGAACTTGGGGCCCTAGGCACCTGCCTAGTATTGTCTAATGGTCAATTCCCCCCCTGTCAGTATTAATGCCTTTTCACGATTTTCTTATAGAAGCACTTTTTTTTTTCTTAATATATTTGGACAAGTTGGTGTTTCTTGTTATTACACTGATATAATTTTTGGAAAAAAAAAATATCCATGTTTTTTTAATGTTACAAAGGTAACAAGGTCTTGTCCTTGGCTTGAACTTTTCAACATATTTCACTGAGTGTCCTTTAAAGGGTTAAAATAAAAAAGTTTACCACAGAGTGGACTATAAAATTAAGATTTCTAGATTTTTATTAGCTCAAAAAAAAATCTATTCTAGAAACTGATCATGTTTAGCATACATACCCATATGTGTGAATCCTTCATTTCCAGGATTTATATGACATTATTTCCACTTTCTGTGGGAATAAAAACACAAAAAAAGAAACATATTACACAAGTGACCACTAGGTGGCAGTGTTTCATAAGGTTTCAGCGGCCCAGCTTTAGGAATTGGATTAAATGGTTTTTACTTTGGTAGAAAGTTGTGATTTTTCCACAGACCCTGACAATAAGATCAATCAGTTTATTTCCAATCAAACACCTGTGTTTCTCCTCCCTCCTCCATGGTTTTTAATCTTCCTCTACTTATTCAAGTCTTTTTGTTTATAATGCATTTTCCCCTCCTCATAAAAGCCGACAGACCACTGTGTCCTGACTGATGTGCTGGCTGTGATTCATTGAGACAGTTTAGCAGCAAGCTGTGTAAACATCCATTAGTAATTCATGACTTTGTCCACCATCCCCCCAGGCTTCAATTAACCCCTGATATTTGTGTGTTTTTCCTTTCATCCATCTCTCCCTCCTTCTCCAAATGCATTTCATCCTCCTTGCTTCCCATATTTTTCTCCATTAATCATCCTCTTTGGGTCACAGAATGCCCATCATTTGGTCCAGAAAAAAACAAAAAACAAAAGGAGGCAAGCAGGTGGTGTTTAGCGATCCTTTACAACATATGCAAATTAAAAACTGCATGAAAAGAAGGGATGAAGCTGCTGGTTTGGACCTGAGGTTTTGCAGGAGGACTAATGTACAACTTTTATTTATCTTTATACTGAAAAATTGAATGAAAAAAATAGCTCTGTTGAAACCCTGCAATTTTGTCTCTTATTTAGTTTCTTTAGACTCTACTTAAGGGATTGTTTGGATCCAGGGGCGGAGCTAGATGGGGTCCAGGGGTGGCCATGGCCACCCTTAGCCAATCATTGGCCACCCCTGCCATTTATTTCCCTCTAATACAGACTGTGTCAGCAGTAATACTCTCAAGTTAAACATTCAAAACATTTTTTTTTTTTTGTGGTTAATTATACACATCAATATACTAACATCAAAGATGATAAATACAGAATTCCTGCTCTTTTCAGAAATAGATTTTGTGTTCTATGGGGTAAAGAGAAAATTATGTGTCTCTGCAAGTCATCTTGTCTTCAGTGAAATCAAAGATAAATAACAATTTTTTTTTTTTTTTTTTTTTTTTTTTTTACAGTGTCCTGTCTGGCAAGGTGGCAATAAGAATAATTGTCTTGATGCCAAAAGGAGCCCAACAGATTTTACTTTCACAAGTGTAGCGGTATCGCAATTTCCATACCGCTCCAGTTGTTTCATGTATATAAATTGCTTTATTATAATTATGCAGGGAGTTTTACAGTTCATATGGACACTGCAATGTAAGTAGAGCAGAAAAACAGAAGAAGAAGAAGGAAAAAGAAAACGAAAAAAACAGGACAAAAGATGAAAGAAAGAGGAGATAGGAAGGAGACAATGACAAAACATTTTCAGTCTGCTTCAACACCTGTAATGAGATGGAGAAAAAAAAAAAAAAAAAAGAAAAAAGAACAGCACAACCAAAAAACATGGTACGAGATATACAATAAAGCAAACACCTTGAAACTATCACTAAAGTAATATTATTAAGTCTGACATGTACTCTGTGTTACCTGAAGATATGAATGTGGGGTTTCTGTTTGGAAGTGAATCTCTAAGTACCTGAAGCCTAGCACCTGTAGTTGTTTGTGAGGGTGAACTTGTGCATGTAAAGTTTTAACCATAGAAAAAAATGCTCAATAGTGGTTGTGGAGAGCCGGAGAGGCACACCCCCCAGAGCACTGAGTCCAGCGCCGGGAGACCCAAAGCCCCAGGCGCCCAAGGGGACCCCAGAAGCGAAGGCACCAAGGCGGGGCCAGCCCCGGAAATCAGACCCCACCAAGGCAGGAGGAGAGACAGCCACGAGGAAGCCCCCCAGCCACCGCCATGCCGGCGCCCCGGGGAGCCGCGGGGACGAGTCCGCGGGCCCCGCCGGCAGCCGGCCACCCCGAAGTAGGGCCGGGCGCCGAACACCAGCCCCCCCACGGCGCCGACCGAAACGCCCCAGCCCCACAGAGTGCCGAAACACGCCCCGCCCCCCCCGCACCAAGCCCCGGCGACCGGCCGCAACACCCACCGCGACCGCACCACCCAGGAAAACACTAAGACGGCCCCGCCCCCGGCCGGGGCCCATGCGCATCCGCCGCGAACCGGCCACGAGCGCCGCGGGACCCCCCCCAAAACGCCCCCCCGGCCAAAAGCGCAGCCCCACCCCACCAAGACCGATGCCAACAGCGCGCAACGAAACACACCGCGCACAGAATCAGCCCGAGAGCAGAAAAGCCGCCCGGCGCAAAACCGCAAGAAGAGCAGACCGCAGCCGGCGCAACCACCCCCCCCAGCAGCCCGAGGGGCAGCACAAAGCCAGAGCGGAGCGAACCGCGCCGCCCCCCCCACCGGACGATGCCAAAGCAGCCCAGCCACGTCCGCCACCCCCCCCGCAGCCCGCACCAGGCCCCGACACGCGGCCAGAGCAGCTCCGCCGCCCCGGCCCCCCACCACGCGCCGGTCATAGCCACTCCAGGCCCACACCCGCCCCGCAGCCCCACCCGCCGCGATCAGTGGGAACAGAGCAGCCCCGCCATGCCTCCAGGAGGGAAAACCCACCCGAATACCCAGCCAGCGCAGCCAGCCCGCCCAGACCGGCCCCCCAACACTACCCCCGCCGGAGCCGCCCGGACCCCCACACACCAGCGGCGCGCCGCCAGCAGGACCCCCACCCAGCAGGCCCGCCTGCCCCCCGAGAAAACAGACATGCCAAACCCCCCAAAGAAAAAAAGAGAAGAAAAAAAAAAAAAAAAGGGGCCCCCACAATGCGACAGCGGACACCAGACACCGACCCGCCCGCAACCGCTCCCCCCCACCGAGGAAGAGAAAAAAAAAATAATAAAAAAAAAAAAATAAATAGGTAAATAAATAAATTAATTAATAATTACAATTAAAATAAATAGGCAAGAGGAGAAGTGCGAGCGGAAAAACCGGAGCCCAAAACAGGACCCAAGACCCGCACCCCACCATGCCGCGCAGCTCCCCCCCTCCCCGAACCGATACCACAGAACCGGCATAGGAAAGAAACACCGCCCAGGAACCGGCATCGTAGCGAAGGCACCGGCACCGACCCCGAACAACACCCAGCCCCACCCCGAAGCGGATCCAGTCCCAGGCCCCAGGGATCCGAGGCCCCAAGGGCACCCCACCCCCAGACAGGAGCCCCAGCAAAGCCCCGGCCGGCCGGGGCCAGTGGAGAGGCCGCCAGGAATGAGCCAGCAGTCCCCCGGGCATCCACCCCCAGCTCCACCAGTGCACCGGTGAGCCCCGACGCCAGCCAGCGGAGGGAGAGCAGGACGGGGGGAATGGGCTCCGCACTTAGCGGAGACTTGAGATGTATTTGGGAGAGGGTGCGGTTGAGACCCCAACCTGGGAAAGAAAAAAAAAAAAAAAAAACACACCATCTCAATCATGCCTTCCCTCCCTAGTGCCCCCACTCGTACCACAGGAAAAAAAAAAAAAAAAAAATTGAATAAAATAATAATAATAATAAATAAAGAAAATAACAACGCAGACACACATTCACACATAACACTCACATCCAATAATACCAGGACCAAAAACCCGGTGACACCGGTGGTCGGTCCCGGGACTATCGGATGACCCCATAAGTGAACCTAAAATCCGGATGTGAGGGGAGGGGAGCGGCGACACCGCCACACCAACCCATCTCTTTCCTGCTTCAAGCCCGGCCCCCCACCCCGCACACGGACCGGACCACCCCCCGCAAGAGCCCCCCCCGGGACCGGGGCCCACCCATCCCGCGCCGGCCACCCAACCAGAACCGCCCCCCCCCCCCGAAAAGAACAAAAAAAAAAAAAAAAAAAACCTTCAACCAGGCACTTCATGCCCCTCCTTCCAACCTTCTTTGGGGAGAGCAGAGGTGACAGCCCCGCCACCAGCAGGCCACCTAGGCCCCGCAGCCAGCCCCAGCCAAAACCACGGACCAGGTGGCCCGCTCTTCCTCCAGGCCCCAGACTCCAGGCGGCAGCCGGAGAACAGGGGTGTGAGAAGACCCCGATCCTCACTGCGCCCGCTCGAATGTGGTGTTGTTGCGTGTTGCTCTCAGATGCAATTAAAACTGGGAGTACCAAGAGGGGGTGTCCGGCACACTCCACCCCCCCTCCAGGAGATAGACGGTGCCAGCACACCCTCCCCCTTCGACAACCCTCAACCCTCAATGTCTAGATGCGAGAGGGGATGGAGGAGGCCGACCGTGGTGAGGCCCATAAAATAAGCCCCCCCCCCGGTGGCCCTGACCCCCACCCCCCGAAAATGCCCTACATAGATGTGTGTTGTGAAAATGATGTAGATGGAAGTGTCTAAAATGCAAAATAAAATTGGGGTGGGGGACGTCATCAGAAGGTGTGGCCCTCCAGTAACGACCCCCTCCCCAAAAACCTACATGTGTGGCCGAGTGATGGAGCAGGCAGAGGGAGGATTTCGGGGATGGGGAGCAAAGGACTGGGGTGCCTGCTGCACTCCCAGGGAGCCAGCTCCCCCGCTGACTCCAATAGGCACCCCCGTTCCCCGAGAGCCCCCCCAGAGAAGGGGGCCCCACCAGTTTCACCACCATAGCCCGGGGGCATGGGACCGGCAGCAGGACCCACCAGCCAGCCGGGCACGGAGCCGACTCCACCACCCCCCCCCGTCCTGTCCATCCAAAAAAATAATAATAATAAAAAAAATAAATAAATAAATAAGTAGATAAATAAATAAAATTAAAAAAAATAAATAAATAAATAAATTAAATAAAAAAAAAATAATAATAAAAAAAAAATAAATAAATAAATAAATAAATAAAAAAATATAAAAGGAAGATAAGAAAAAAAAATAATAATAAATAAATAAATGAATAAGGGAAGGGACAATCCCAGCCGGCCAGCCAACGCGCAACACGCAGAGCCCCCACCCCGGACGAAGCCCCACCAGGGGGCAGCACGGACCAGGACCAAGACAGGGAGCCAGACCCAAAGCCCTTCAAAGATCTTCTTCCCTCTATCACCACCCCCCACCCCCCCTCCGGAGATGTAATCCCTCCCCTACAATAACAATCAAGCTACTCACCACACAAGCGACAGAAGACATCCAGGCCGAGATCATACCTACTCCCCCTCCCTCCCCTTCCCCCACTTACAGAGTGCAAACCCGTGAGGGGGTAAGCACTTGCCATAGGTGTTAATGTCCATGCCCCCCCCAGCCCAGCAGGCCCCGAGGCACCCCGGCACACCAGAGGCCGTGGCAGCAGGGACAGACAGCCAGGCGTACACCGGCCCAGAACCCAAGCAGCACTCCCCACAGAACCCGAACCCCCACCGGGGACCCCGCCCAAGGGCAATGCGCCCCAGGGATCCCAGGCCCAAGGAGCCACCCCAGACCCACCCCGCAGTAGGGCCGGGCAATGCCCAAAAACCCCCGGCACCGGCGCCAGCACCCCCACCCCGACCCCGGCCCCCGAACGACTCCCCCCAACACCGGTCCCACAGCACCAATCCGAAGAAGAAGAAAGCCACACAACACAGCTAAGCGCAAATCCCGAGCCCCACTCCAAGCCCCGATCCCCCCGCCCACACACCCCCTCCCACACAAAAAACAAACAAAAACAAAAAAATTATAATATTCTCCCCCTCACCGGAGAAGAACGGCCGCAAACAAGCCAGTGCCCAACACCCACCGCCACACCACGAGGACCCCTCCACCCAGATGCTCCTCCCCAGAAAAGTCAACATGCCTGCCCTCCCAGGAGACAGGCAAGCCCGCCGAACAGGAATCCCCCCGGCAGCGCACCGCCGGCATGCGGGGGCCCGAGCAGCCCCAACAGAAACAACACCGGAAGGACGAACCGACGGCACCAACCAAGCCCCCAGGCGGACTCCCCCACCCAAAAACACAACGAAACCACCCCGCCCCCACCGACCACAGCAAACACAGCCGCAAGGCAAAGCAAAGGACAGAGCAGCCCCACCCGGCGCACGCCAGAGAGCCAGAGCAGCAAGGCCGCCCCAGCCGCCAGAAGCCGGCACAAGCAGCAAAAAGAAAGCAGCAGACGCGACCCCACCACCCCCGCCGCGCCCGGCGCGAAAGCAGCACGACCCACCCCGCTCCGGCCCCGCACCGCCCACAGGCCGCCGAGAGGAGGACGGCCACGCCGGCCACGGCCCGTCCCCCCCCCGCCGCCAAACACCGAGCAACCCTCCACTCCCAAGCCGCGCACGATGCACCGCACCACGCGTCACCGGCACCCGCCCCAACAGAGCGAAGCCACACCCCGACCCGGGGGCACTCCAAAGGGACCCCCGACGCCCGCAACCCGCCCACAACAGACACACACGAACCCCGGCCACAGGCGCGACCACCCACGCCCCCCCCCGGACGACGCAACCACGGCAAGCACCACGGCCAACCACCGAAACCCGGCACCGGAAGACGAGGCACGCCCCGACGCCCCGCAGAGCAGAAGCACCCCGGCCAGCACCACAAAAGAACCGATGCCCGGCGCCCAGCCCCACCCAGCAGCAGCACAGCCACCAGGCCAGTAGCCCACGTCCGCCACCACGGAATCCCCCAAGAGCACCGCACGCGGCCGCCGCAGGACCCCCCCGCGGCGCCCCAGACCCCGCCCCGACGGGGGCAACAGTCCCCCGGGCCAGACCCGCCAGGCACCCCGCTCCGAGCACCCCCCCGAGCCCCCAGGACCCAAGGACCCCCGAACTAGCCCCCGCGCCCCACAAGACGCACCCCATAGCCCCCCACTACACTAAGTGATGGAGCCGATCAAGGGAGCCCAGAGAGATCGGTCTGATGGGGATGCAGATGCTGTCTCAAGATTAATATGATCCAACAACAGATCTCTGTACTGATTGATGTTGAGTTTATCCTTACTCTTCCAATTCATGAGGATAATAACAATTTTAATTAAAAAATGATCAAATAATCAATTTATGTAGATATTAGTGCTTGTGAATATCAATTTTATGCAGAATTTTTATTGATACAAGTAAGTAATGATAATGATTAATTTATGCCCCAGAACTCAAAACTGAGTTTTATTCACTATACCTTTTATCTAGAAATTACAGATTTTGAAATATATGCATCTATTTGTTAGCAAAGGCTGTAGGAAAGTATAGTTTGTCTTTATTTAGAAAATATGGATGTTTTGCTCGTTCATTTTTCCTGTTGGAACAGAGTAGATTGACACTGAGGTTCTGGTGCCAATCCGCTTTCGGCCCCCCCTCAGTCTACAGTGGTTATTGCCTGGCCACCCTTATAAAAACTCTGGCTACGCCTCTGTTTGGGTCATAACCAATTATTGCTTCACGAGGAGAAGAAATGATTAGTTTTTGTCCTAACTAAGATTAGTGATAGAAGCTTATAAGATTTTGTAACAACTTATTTCGTTTTTTTCCTTCCAGACTAAATGTTTTTACGGATCATTCATACTGACTCTTCTGTTTAAAAGGAGTTGTTCCTCTCCACTGTCACCTCATGCTTGTTGGGATGAGGAAATGATGCAAAGTTGATGATTTTATACAACCAGCCATACTATCTTAGATTACTTTTTTCTAAATATCATAAAATATAACCGAATAGGGTTTGTATTTCAACATAATCTGGACTCAATTGTATGTAATTCTGTCAAAATACTTTTATTTATCCTAAAGGGAAATTCAGTAATCAGGAATTGGGCTGTTTGACTGGATTCCAATGGAATCATATGGACTAAGTTTGGGTTAATCTATTTCATATAACTAGATGTGAAATTCAAGCTATTTTTTATCCAAAATGATATGATCTGCTTAATTTAATGCATTAAAAAGCCCTAAAAATTAGGACGAATATCAAAAGGTATTACGATAAGTTTTACTTTCATCTGAAAAGTATCTTTGTTTAGTGTTTGTAAACTGCTATAACTGGAACGTAAAATATCAGACTGTCTGTTTTTACCTTAAAATGAAAGACATAAATAAAATAAATATCTGTTTTAGTAGAAAAGAATGATTTTATTCCCCTGTTGTTTTCTCTGACTCTAAAGATCGATCTAAGAGCTCTCTGATGTTGTCTTGCTTCTATCCATTATTCAGTTATTAAACACAGCTCATTTATTTTTTAGTTTCTGCTCAAACAGAAAAAAAAAAACAATTTTTTAGCTGCTGCTGAGACAAAAACATTCTTTTGAACCTTGTCCTAATATGAACTCTTGAACAATCAGTGTAAACTGATATATTATAAAGGCAAATAATGTAGATTGTTGTCTTACTTTCTCCCAGCAGATCCTCAGACATCAGATTATCCTGCCGGTTTCCAAGCACAAAAGCCAAGAAGGAGAGGATGAGAGCATCCATGATGCCCATGATGGCCAGGATGTAGGCCCAGCGGACCGAGCAGGCACCCAGGGCGTACTTGTCCGTCTGTTCGCCGCACATCCGCTTCACCTCGTCGCTGTCCCAGCCGTCGGGGTAGATCATGCAGCCCAGAATCAGGCTGGTACCTGAAGCAGGAGGCGAGACAGATGGGTGAGGAGCTAAACAGGCTACCAGGGGAGAAATTGGGCTGGAAACCTGGAAACAGAATCCTGCTCATTAAAAAAAAACAACACTCTGCTGCAGCAGGTTGCTTTGCGACAAATACAAGCCTTTAAAAACTTTATTACACTTTATGTCACAGGTATTTATTATGAGTTTATTAATTGGATAACAAAGCTGTGCATGCTTGAGTGCATGACTTTTTATTCTTTAAAATGTGTGATGTGCATTTACATACGGCTGAAATTGGAGGTAAAGCAGCAAAGTCTTGCTACAGATTCTCTGTTTAATTTACATCTGGACTAGAAATTAAATGATTAAGCAATTATTGTAAATAAGCAACTAATTTAGAAATCAATTCATCGTAATTACTAAAATAGTACAAAAGATATATATATATTTTGCATTTAAGACTCGTTTCAATTCTATAAAAATATCTTCTTTAAGGAGGCTTTTGCTACCCGATTATTAATCAATTGATATAAAGGAATAATCAATCCGTAAAATAATTATTTGCAGCCCTAATCTGGACTTTGACTAGGCCATTCTAACAGTAAAATGCTTTAATCTACATCATTTATTGTAGCTCCGGTTGAATTTTTAAGGTCATTCTCCTGCTTGGAGTGAACCACTGTCCCATATGTGGGTTAATACAGGAGTTCACCACAGCATAACGCTGCCACCACCATGTTTCAGCATGGTGATGTTGTGTTCAGGTTGATATACAGCGTTGGATTCCCCCTGTACCTTCCTGCGCATTAAATCTTTGTGTTCTCTTGTGGCATACGGTAAACGGTTCAGTCTTACCACGCTTTCATGAAGACATTTTTTTTAAGGTGGACGACAATTATTCTGTCTCTTATCTAACATATATCACAATGAAATTATAATATAAATTATAATATAACCGGTTTCAGTGAATTTTATTTTTTGGGTATCAGAATATTGTAATATTTACCTTTTTTTTTAGTAAATAATGCTAAATCTAGTGATTTTTAAGTACTTTTGACCCCATTTGAGTTGAATTGTGTCGTTAAATTCTGCTGTCGATGCTCTTAATCTGAGCTGTATTTGCAGATTTTATGTTTATAACTCATTGTAACTTCAAGGAATCAAACTATTTTGGAAAGAGATGGAACACGGCACTTTTATCTTCATGCCTGAGAAAATTTCCTCTGATTGCAGCCTTGGTTTTTTTTAACCTTAAAGAAAAAATTCAGCTGAATTCAGCTAGGCATCAAATAACGTCTTGTTTGTGTCTCAGAGAGGAAAAAAACAAACGGGAAGAAAACAGGGGAGCTGCTGATCAGCAGTTATTTAGAAAGTTATGACATGAACGTCCTGCAGAGATAAAATACATCTTTATAAGAGTATGACCAATTCAATTCAGTTTATTTCCATATCACCAATTCACAACACGTCATCTCAAGACACTTTCCAGTTCATCAGATCAACCAGTCAAATTGATTCAAAGTTTTCTATCTAAGGAAAACCAGTTGATTACATTGACTCAAGTTCAATCCCTCACTCTAAGTATGCTTGTAGCGACAGTGGAGAGGAAAAACTCCCTTTGAACAGGAAGAAGGATGAAGAGAGCCCATCCAGCCAGTCACAGTCAGAGAAACAGGACTACACTGAAAAACAGGCTGTTCTCCAATATATATATATAAACAAAGGAGTTGATGGCAGCAGCACAGCTGATATTTCTCTCCAGGATGGAGTCACAGCCAAACAGGAACAGACCAGATGAAGCTACTATGAGAAAAAGCAGAACGTTAGAGATTGAACTAACAGATTCTGCAGAGTGGGAGAATAGAGATAGAATGATGTAAAATAAACACCTTATAATGGAGGCAGAGGGGGAAATAGCTTTGGAAGAGAAGACGTGTTGGCAGCAGTTTAGAGACGAGGCAGAGGTGTTGAACGAGGTGTAGAAACAGAACCATGTGTTGACCTACGCTGTCATCACAAGCCGTCTGCGACACTCCAGATCACGACTCCTCCTCATGAGAAATCTGTCTGAGGAGGAAACTGCTCCTGTCAGCAGGGAGCCGTTTCCTCACAACAGGACGCATGTTGGACGGGGAAGCTGCTATGCTAAACTTTAGAAGCTTCCTCTATCTTTAGGGACAACGTTTTACACTATAGAATAGATTTAAAAAGGCTCATTTAATAGGGCTTTTTTTTAAGCGAGAATAACCAAATTCTCTGAGATATCTCTGTAATGTTATTAGAACTAAATGTAACCAATTAGAGCTACAAGCGGCTCTATTTGGCCAGAATCTCTAGAAAATACAGCAAATTTCTCTTTCAAACTGGATTTTTCCATCTCCATTTAATTCCTCTACTATATTTTGTATCAATTAGTTATTAGAATGTTTTAGCTGGTTTTATTTGTTACTATTTTAATGCTCATTTTAGTTTAGCTGTCATTAATTATAGTACTAGCTTTAATCAATCATCTGTAAGCATTAACACACTAAGCTGCTCTTTATGTTGCGTCTCACTGTTTCTCACACTGTTTATAGGACACTCAGTGAAATACGTTGAAAATTAAAATTTCCAGCCGATACTGTTATTGCAATCCAGGACAAGATCATATTACCGTTGTAACATCAAACAAATATGGATATTGTGATACAAAATGTCAACGTAATAAAAAGAAACGCCAACTTGCCCGAATTTATTAAGAAAAATAATAGTAGTGCTTATATAAGAAATTCATGAAAAACACAAAAATGTGAAAGAAACACGTTTTTTACTTTTTTTAATTTTTACTTACATTTTTGTTAATTGTTAACTAGGCTAATTAACTTTTTAACTTTTCACTTAGCTTTTTAACCTTTTTTTTCTTGACTTTTTTTTCCAGCATAATTTACAGTAGGTCAAGTATCATTCAATTCTAATTGGTCAAATGCCAAAATAAGATGTTCAGTCATGTAGCAGGATATTTGCTGAATGGCTGGATATAGATCTTGTGCTTCTAGAATAGACTTTAACAGCTGCTCTCACTCTATTTATTTAGGTGTCATTAGACACATCAAACATATCCTTGGTGAGCCCTGCTTTAAAAAGTTTATTTAAAAGTTTCTTTTCTCAAAAAACAAATGAAATAGCAACTCAGCTGCAGCATCATGAAACATATCAACTTTTTAACTAATCAAATGTGCATCAATGAAACTGTAATATGGGCTGGAACCTTGTTTTACCCTTTTGGTAAAATAAAATAATTTTGACCTAAATTTACTCTGTCGCCAGCTGACTGTTGTTGTTTGGTAGACCCCGTATCACAGTGGCTGATAACTGCTGTATGATCTGGTTGAAATCTCTCTGTAAAGTGCCCTGAGATGACATGTGTTGTTAATTGGCACTATATAAAAAAACTAAATTGTATTGGATATTGAATGTTTTACCATTTAAAAACAGTAACTTGCTCTATAAATGGTTTTGGATAGGCTTTTAGTAACTGTCATTAATTATAGTACTAGTTTTGATCATTTGTAGACATAGGAATCTATAAGGTCAGGGTATTGTTTTATGAAATCGTGCTTCTAAATAATAAAAATTCTGCAAAAATTTTAAATTTTCAAAATCTGGTTCAATTACAGCCGTTCTGTTAGTTTAAGACAACTATAAAATGTTTTCTATGTTCCATCTGGCTTCCTGATGAGACCTTAAACTAAGATATTTGTGAGAAGACTTAACAATCGTCTCACACACCTGCTCTCTATCAAGTCTGACTGACGTTGAGCTGTTTTGTAGAGAAGACTGGGCAAAAGTTACATTATAAAAAAAAAAATATATATATATATATATATATATATATATATATATATATATATATATATATATATATATACATATATACATATATACATACATACATGTATACACAATCTCCGGTTGTACAAAGCAAAGGGTTGTTGTGCAAAATGCTCTCCCTCCGGAAGTTACCAATAGAAAATAATCTCTTAGTATAAATCCATTTCTTGACAGCTGTAATTAGTTTAGCTTCTACCCTTTATGCTTATAAGTATTTTCTTTGGTATTTTACGTGTCTTCGTAGGTAGAAATAATTTGTAAAGTGTGTTACAGTCCTTGTTATCAGGTGCATAAGCTGTGCAATTCTTGATTAGATCAGGTCCTGTGATTGCAAGGCTCTTAAAAATAAAAGTAACCGACACGGCTGTGCTTTCAGTCATGCAAGTCGTTCTCTGTATGTAAAACTACATTTCTCTTTTGTATAATCAACGTTTTCTGTTTTAAGAATGATTGACTGAGTAGATCTGGACGTGATCTGAGACGCGTCATTTCTCTTTTAAAGGTTTGTCTTTCTGAATTAAATCCAAAAGCTTCAAAGTCTCATAGTGATGAGCAGGAATCATCTCCTCTGGTTCTCCTGTTGCACTGAGCACCTCCTCTGACTCACGGCCCTTCAGAGTACCCCGTCAGGTACTCTTTGATCATGATTTTTTATTAAATGTTGCATTTTTTTATGTAAATATTTAAGAGCAAGACCTCTTCTTGGCAAATCGGATCATTATCTTGTTTTTGCTCTGAATATAAAAATGCATTCCATCTAATTTTCAAGTCACACCCCACCTTTAATCCCTTTTCCCCCTGAAAGCAAAAAAAGCTCCCAAGATGATAATTTTAGACCTGTACAGAAATTCTGTTGCATCTTTCCATTAATGCATCTTCTCAAACTCATGCAGACTTTTTGTCTCCTGACGGATGCATGTTTCTCTTTTTAACTCCCCTACAAATTTCATGCAGTCTCCTGCACACAGTCCCTGTCATAAATCATGACTTGTGACCGACTTGTCGCCTCATTTCAGCTCTTAACACAAGTGTTGTGTTCAGATTGGACAGCCTTAAACCCGAAGGTAATGTTAGGTTCAAAAATGTAGGTTCATAAAAGAGGAACTGAGTCTACACAGAAGAGGGATTTTTAACAGCTTCTGCA